AAATGTATATGGAGATGCAGTTCCTTTCAACAATTTACTTGATGCATTTGCAAGTAATGATGTGCGCATTGAGAACCTGCAATTACAATGTTACAGTGGCGTATGGGATGAGGCTACCACAGAAAGCGTAACAAAGCTGACATATTTGGAGAAATTAGAGTTGAAAACAATTTCAGAGGAGCAATTGATTCAAATCGCTCGTTATCTACCTAAACTCAAAGAAATTGCAGTCTTCGGATTTGGGACACAGTTTGGCATTGCCGGAATCATAAAAATACTAAAAATTGGACAAAATTTAACTACATTGAGAATTTGTGATAATTTTTGTCCTGGCACCATCACTTTAGAAGATTATGAACACATGTTGGCATTGGTCAAAGGTCGCATCAGACTCACTATGCGAACTACTAACAAAATACCCATTCATGTTCCCGAAGATGTATTGGATGCGAATCGTGAATGGTTGAATATTTCGTGTTTAGAAAATAGGCCTACAGTATTTGTACAAATAGTACACCATAGAAATGTACCACGGCCTTTATAGAAATGTATCATTCAAACTTTCTTTTCCAACCAAATAAAAATCAATATTTTTGAAATCAATAATTTTGAAAATCAAAAATGCATTACTTCATATTTATTTCATTTCTCATTTTTACCTAAACAGTGACACATAAAAAACATTATTCATAGATAGAGCCGGCTACTACCTAGATTGATGGCTAAAATTTAATTGAAAAGTGTTTTGTATGCGATTTAAAAAATCGAAACATTTTTTTTTATATTCGACGTATGCGTTGCTTGGTCACAATCATGCTAAACAATAGGTCTGCGCAGACTTCACTGTGTTAGAGAGAGGAGATGAGTTGATTAGAAAAATCAAAAGAATATTAATCTCGGAAAATCTAAAAAAGCAAAAAATCATCATTTTCTCACTAGAACCCCTAGCAAATCGAAGGTTTTAAAGCTTTCAAAGGGGCGGCAAAACTCATTTTTTCATTTTACAGACCGGAACAAATCCTGGGCGCGTGCATGGCAAAGGTGCCTCTGAAGCGCGGAAACCATCCTCTCGACACATGTGGTTCTAAACTTATTACAAAGCTCATAAAAAGATTGTACACATCATATCATTGATGTGTATTGCAAGAATTTTGTTGTGAATGTAAATCACCAGAAAATGGACAGTTAGTTTTATCAAGTATAACCATTTTATAAATTTCAAATAAAGTCCAATTTTCTCTCCCTCCCTTTCTTTCTTTATGCGTGACCAAAACTTGGACGTCCGTTTACGTTGGTTATTATCATGCGTCGCACCTGGAATAAACATTGCATAACGCATTTGATTTCATCAGCATTGTTGTAGTGATAAAATCCATTTGGCTGCTGTTGAGTACTTGCCATTTCTCTTAACCGATTATGGTTATGTGCTGGGCATGTTTTGTTGCTTATCACGATTTGCGAAACAATTTTCCAAACGGAAATGAGCGTGAAGGCCACTTATCGTTTTGGATAAACATGAAAATGAACTTTGCTTATTTCGGCCAATCGAAATGGCTGCTAAATGGAATACAAAAGAAAAGAGAGGAACAATGAGAAAAACGTGACGACCAAAACTCAATAAACAGCTAAATTGATTCTCCATTTGGATTCAATATTAAATCAAAATGATGTATAGATTGATATTGATGGGTTGCCAAGCGTTCAGAAAGACATACATTTATGCGAGCAATTGAATAATGCTTGCATCATTTGATGCGCATCGCTAGTGCTTTCGTTGTGCGTTCGGAGCACTTCGTGCGCTGCCGAAGATCCGAATGTATGGCGATAGCACAATCGATGTGCATCAAATGATGCAAGCATCATTCAATTGCTCGCATAAATGTATGTCTTTCTGAACACTTGTGGGTTGCACAAAATATGATTTCGATTCATTTGAAATTTGCATATAATATATCATTCACATTTGAATTGAGATTTTCTCTGGGTTGGCGTGTTGAACATATTTCTGACTGAATGAAACCAGTTTGTCATGTCTCGAGACAAAATGCACAACGAAATGCAATTTCATTTTAAACAATAACATCGCCGATCACATCTCCTTGGTTGATTACCACTGGCATACTGCTTACATTTGATTTAATGCATCTCACTATTGTATCGTTCTCGTCTATTTCATCTATCCATCTATGTAGAAAAAAGGTCACTAGTTTAATTGTCTGCCCGAAAATTGTGTTTGTTCGCCATTTAGATAGTTTGTTTAACCGAAGCGCGCGCGTTTTATGAAATACTAACGAAATAACCGTCAAATTAAGTGTAAAACAAATGAACGTTCGTTGCACGGTATACACATAATGTTTTAAATAAATGCCATCAATTTGGAAGAGACACATTTATTATTATTATGTTGTGATAACAATCATTATTTTCCGTGATATTTACGATATAAAACAATTTGCAGAATCATTGTTTTCTCACTTTAATGCTGTACACAGGCTCAAATCACCATTTCACGATGTTCTTTATTCTGTTCGTTGGTTTTTCCACTTCTTCGATTATAATGTTCATTGTAAATGTCTTGATGCTGATCATAGCACAAATGTTTGTAAGCTCAAATTTGATTTATTAACGCACAATTTATAACAAATTTCTAAGAGAATTTAGTGAATATGCATGTTTTTACACATGGGCAGTGGTTATAGTTGATATACTGCTCTGCATTTTTGATGATTTTTAAATAACTTGGAATTCATCTAGCAGCATCTAGAATCTAGATGGCAAATGGAAAAATGCAATCAAAACCAGAAATTTCAAAAACCTAAAAACCGGTTCTAGTTTGTTTCATTTTGACTCATAAAAGTGATTTTTTTGTATTGAAATTTTGCTTGTTCGTGAGTTTGTTGGTAGAAGATACAAATTTCGAATCGTTATATACTATATACCGATATTATTCACTTCAACACCTATGATAAATATTTTTTCACTTCAGTCGTTTACTTTATTTGCAAAAGGAATTTACACTTGCGTAAATTAACGTTTGAAATTACTTCATTGTGCAAAACAATAATTTAGTATTGACGTATATAAGTATTTAGTTTGACAAACAACTTATGTTTTGTTAAACCTTGAAAACTATTTTTAAGCTAAAGAGCGTTTGAAGCAAAACACGTGGACTTTTTAAATTATAAGTAAAGTAAAACGTTTTGAGCGTAAAAATTGTGTATAAATGCCTTCGCATCTGCTCTCATTTTCAGTATCATTTTAAATTCAGTGATATACGATTTCAACTGTAACAATGAAGCAATTTCTAATTTTGGTACTATTTTCATTTTTGGCCGTAAATGATGTAAGTAATAACACTTGAAAACATTACAAAAAATTACTTTAAAAAAGCCAACATTTGTTATATTTACAAACCATTCAATTGAATGCATTTTTCTTTGAATTCGTCAATTTTTTACAAATAGGTATGCATCTAGGGGGTTCCGACTTATACGAATGTTCCATATGCGAGCGAATTTTTCATATATATTTTGCAAACGGAAACGAATGGTCGCGAATGTTTCATAAAAATTTTGCGAATGGTGGCGGATGTTTCATACAAATTTGCGGACGGTGTCGAATGTTTCATACACATTTTGCGGATGGCGCATATGAAAAGTCATATTTTTACATTCAAAAAGTCAAAGTGACAGATTAGGTGACAGAGATTCAAGCCGAATTGATATTTTTTTGGTAATATTGAGTGAAATTTTTCTAAAATGGTAAATAAATCTTTGCCACTCGTAATATAATCACTGTAAACGGTGCCTTGTGAAAGGTTTTTATTTTCATTGACGTAACTTTCAATTTCTTTTATATTATCTGAATTTATTTCTTAAATCTCACTTTTCGAATCGAATACGGCTCCTAAAATAATATTCAACAAATAATCTTGTATTTTTTTCTTCAACTGTTTTTCAAATTTAGTTGAGAACAATGACATTGTGTTTGAAACTGCCATGACAAACTGAACACAGCAATGTGTATGTACAAATATCACACGACAGTTTGTCGCATCTAGCAAGACGTATGCGGCTTCCGCGAATGGTTGCGAATGAAATGTACGAATTTTCATAGATGTTGATGCGGATGAATATACTTTACTTCGTATATTTCATGTATGAATAGGATAATGTTCATATATTCCGTATAATATGGCATTCGCATATAGTAAAATGCCCCTAGGTATGCATCAAAGGAGCCATGGCGAGTACCTATCAGGATATAGTTACTAAATATCAACCAGCTAATTATAGGCTAGCAGATGCGTTCTCGTTGACTTCTGATTTTAGCAATACAGCCAAAGTTATTATATCTCATTTGTATGATATAAGTAAGAATGATGAGATAAACGCACTCTGCAATAAGTTAATATTGATTCCAGACAGTTCAAATGCCCTTCCAAGTGACATTCAAACCATTTTCAATAACTGGAACGAAATATTACCGGCAACCAAAAATTATATTCAAGTAAAATCAACATCAATTACGTACATTAGTTCATAAAACATTAAAAAATACATTTGACGACTGTCTTAAAGTGGTGAATGGATTCATTCCGATGTACGCAGAAGAGGAAGATTTTATTGTAGAAAAACTTAAAGAAGCCGAGAAGACTGTGACCAAGTATGTGGAACGCAGAAACGTATGGGCAAGGGCTTTGATGGGCAATACATCTGATCTCTAAATACAAAGATTGTAATCTTTGAAAATAATAAAATGTAATTGTTTGAAAGATTGAGTGTAATCTTACTACTTTGATACATTTAATGAATAAAAAGAGTGAAATAATAAATTATACTTTCTCTCAAATTGCCATCGTATAAATTATTATGATATTCTTTTCAA